ACTCGGCGCTCGACCTTGGGCGGGCTCTTGTAGGCGAGGCCACACCGCGCGTACGTTGCCGCGAGGTGCGTCGTGAGCCGCGCGAGCGCAGACATGCGGGGCGTCGGGCTCTGCGCGGCCATCGCGCTGCGCTGCGGCCCCCGCCGTGTCTTTGGCGACGTCGACCTGCTGGCGTGGGACACCTTGTCGCATGCGACCTCCGTCGGGCTGTCTTGGGCGCGCATGGCCGCAGTGGGATAAAAATACAAGATACACCGGTTCAAGATACCGAACGCAAGCCACGCCGAGCTGCATTTTAATTTTCACGGGCTGTGCATTTAATGCTATCTTCCCATTTGTCATACAAAGCTCAAGTGGAATGGCTGGCGTTTTCCACGGTTATTGTATGGTGACAAAAAAATGCAAGGCCGCTAGAAAACCGTCGAACATTTGACGTGCGCATTTTATTGCCTTTTCCGCATCGCTTGCATACATATGCCTAGGTATTTGGCACAGTACGGCATTTAATTATTGCGGTCACAGTACGAACCAATCGGCGACGATGCCAACCCTACGGCGCAACCGTTCGGCTCGAAGCGGATTGAAACCGCTGTCAGCAGTTTCAGCCGCGCGAAAAGGGGTCGATATATCACTGTTTCAGCACGCTAACGCAAGCATGGTAACATCACCTACCAAGGCCACGAGAGTCGTGGAGCTCCCCACAACGGTTAAGCTCGCAATGCACGCAATCGTCCCCACCTCTCAGCGACCAATATATATATGAACGTGTTTCGCTTTATCATCGTTGTTACAAAGAGTTCGCATACGTACAGACTAGCAATCTCCTCCTTCTTCGTTCGCTCACCGGGCCGTGGCTGCGCAGGACCAATATGCTGCGTTAAATAGGCAAGGAGCACGAGATAGAAAAGCGCTAGCGGCAAAGATCTAACCACGTTCGCGGACTTGATGACAACGAGGCAGCTTAGCGCGATCTAAACTACACCCCTACTTTAATACTCTACTTCGAACAAAAGTATGCAAAGCAAGCTTGGCGGACGAAGCTGGGCGTTCTTGAAATCGGTCACCTCGTTGATATAGGACCAGTACTAGTAGAAGCAAAGCATGACATTCGATTTCCAGTTTCACAAGCAGACCCACTGGTGCCTCTTAGTGCATACTTGCTGGACGAGACCGATAGCCTTTTGCGTCAGCAACGTCGGTCCCAGGGGGAGTTGCGATTTAGGTTTTTCGAGTAATAAGTAGAAAAGTGCATTGCATCGCTAGCTCACTCTTCGAATCGCTCCATCGCGCCGACGACAACTATGACAACGAGTACAAAGCCTCGCTGGAAAAGCTTCACCAGCGTTGCCTCCAAGGCAGCGCCGACACCACGCATCACGGTCCCGCCGTGCACCTGCGCCCGGTAGACCATACCAACCCGCTCCGCTCAAGTGACGCCACCACCAACTGCTCCAGCTTCTTCCGAAGCGGCCACACCGGCACCTCGCACGCCCGTGTGCGCGCAACCGGCAACTGATATCCGGTCTATCCCAGTAACACCATTGCCACCTCGATTATCCGTTCCGCCCACCACCACAGCGCATCAATTGCTCGTCGCTGCGCTAGAAGCTCAACTGGCGGCAGTGACGACCGAGTCGAACGCTCGCCAAACTTGTGTCCTTGCGCTCGAGCGCAACGTTTATCAAAACAGTTGAGCCAAAGGGAGTGAACTGTCGTGGCTCACTTTCGCTAGCGACGTGCTGAGCGACGTGTGCTCCAGTGAGCACAGCCACTGACGTTAACTGCTTTATGGTGATGTTGTACTCCTTGCACCTTGACTTACGGCGTTGAGAAAAGTCATTAAGATGGGTTGATACATTGATTGAAAGACGCAACTTTCCACGCAGTACTTAGACACGATCGCATAGTACAAATGTCAACTTCAACGACGCCTCCTTCACCACCAACCACGCCGTTGTTGACGAGGTGAAGGGCCTCAACGAGCAGCTTGGCATGGGTCGCGCCGACTGCGAAGCCAAGGACTAACAGGTACACACGCTCTTGACCGCGGCAAGGTGGCTAGAAGATACGTTAACGTTAGTAGATTGTTTGCGGAAAGTCACAGCGAGCGCGGAGCCAACATCGAGTGAGTGTCGACAGAGTTCGTCAAGCGAATTGAAGTAGGGACAAGCGAGGTCGTGTCCACTTACCGGTGCATCTAACCGGAGCCGCATGCAAGCCATCGCCCAAGGCGAAAATGCGGTGGCGCACAACATGCGGCGCAAGCAAAAACTCGGAATTGATGGCACCATATCCGGATTCTTAAATATTGTTGAAGCTACGACGCATTTTTTCGACCCCCCTACGGGACGCTCGTTTCGGGGGGTGCATCAAAATATTTTCTTGTCCCCAGCGTCCGCCGCCGCAGTTGACGCTCCTCGGTCAACGCATGCAGTTCCTCAAGAGTACCGTCATGGGCCTCGGCTCCGCCTTCACGATGGGCAGCGTCGGAGGCCTGCCCTTCTCGCTCGAGTCCGCCGAGCCTGCCTATGATGCAGGGCTTCCGGACTTTATCCTACTCCGCGGCAAAGCCAAGGCCGACGGCAGCAGCGTCGCGGTGTTCAAGTCCAAGCAGCCCTCGAATGCGCTAGCGCAGAACGCTCTGCGGCGCATCAAGACTCTGCGCCACCCGAATGTCCTTGCCTACATTGTACATCGGCGACCTACGAGGTCCATCCAGCTCATGATGCGCCGGTGTAGGACGGCATTGACGTGCCCAACAACGGCCACGTGTTCATCGTCACCGAGGACGTCGTGCCGTTAAACGCCTACCTCGACGACATCCGTGCCGAGTATGGCGCCAACAGCAACGAAGAGAAGATCCTGATCGCGTGGGGTCTTCGATCGATCCTCGGCGCGCTCAAGTTCATCAACAACGACGTCAAGCTCATTCACGGCCGACTGAACCCGACCAGCATCTTTGTCACCAAGGTGCGACGATCGCTCTCGATTCTATGCGTATGCGTCGATGCTAGGGTGGCGAGTGGAAGCTCGGCGGCTTTGAACTCACGGGCGAGCCCAGCATGAGCGCGCCATTCGTCCAGCACGACCACACGGTGGACCCGCGTTTCAAAGCACCCGGTGCGCCTCCGCGCGTTGCTCTTATTGCTTCTTATAGTACTATGTGTAGAGTGCGCGCGCCGGGACTGGTCGTCCGTGGCGTCGTCGCCCACGTATGCGGTTGACATGTATGCGCTCGCGTGCCTGATCATCTATCTGCACCACCCGTCATTCTCGTCGCCAAGCGATTGCAGTCGCGTTCCGTCCGGTCTCTCGACCTTTGTCAAACGTAGCACGGACGCAACGGCCTCGCGGCGCCTCAACCCCGACCAGGCGCTCACGAGTGCGTACTTTGAGTCGCATTTTTTGCGGCAAATGACCTTTCTCGACGAACTCGCAATCAAGTCGCCGGACGAAAAGGTCGAGTTTTACAAAGATCTGAGCGCGAGCATCGACGCATTGCCCAAGCACACGGCGGTGTTCAAGGTGCTTCCAGCGCTCAAGGCGATTGTGGATTTTGGCGTCGCGACGGGTGGCAAGGCCGGTGGCAACTACAAGCTCGATCCGTCCGAGAGTCACATGTTGCCGGCCATGGTCAAGATCGGGAGCCAGCTCTCGGTACGTGCCTCGAGCCATATTCGCAGGATGGAAGCGTTTTTGATAGCCGGACGAGTTTAAAGACCAAGTGCTGCCGACACTCATCAAGCTCTTTGGCTGCAACGACCGCGCCGTGCGTCTTCAGCTGCTGCAGATGATGGAGTCGTTTGCCGTGCACTTTGACGCCAAGCTCGTCAACAGCAACGTCATCTTTGATAACATCTGCTACCGGG